GGCGCGGGAGGGTGACAGTGTGCTGGGGGATGTTAGCACGCCAGGAGGTGATGTGCACACCGGAGGCCTCTGGCTTTGCAGATCCGCAAACCCCCGAGGTGCGGCCAGGAGGACATCAGTCTGGTGGCTGTCCCTGTGATCCTGCACCTTCTGGGCCAGGAGGCAGATCTTGTGCAGCCACTCCTGGGAGCTGATGGCCTGCAGGTGCTACTTCAGCTCAGCCTGCAGGCTCTGCTTGGAGCGCTCACAGCTGTCACCACCACCATGTGGGGAGTACAGGCCGCCCTCCGCCGGCCTGCCTCCCCTGTCCAGAAGCTCTCTGTGCTACTCACCTGCCCAGAGTGACTGGGGCTGGGTGGAAGCCAGGTGTCCTGCCCTGCCCAACCCCAGCCGATCTTCCCCTGTGTGAGCTGCCACCCCGCGGGGAAGGGTCACAGATCTGGGTCCCGGGACCATGGACAGCCTCAAGCACTGTCCCCCGCCTGGCAGGGTCACAGATCCGGTCCCGGACCGCGGACAGCCTTGCCCGCTGCCGCCCTCCTTCAGTATGCAAATTAGCTGCCATCTTGTTGCTTCAGGGTGGGGGTCCCCACTGGGGTGCTTGGCCAGCCTGGATGAGGGGATGATGGCTGTTTGCAGCTGGTCACACCCCCTTCAGGGTGGGGGTCCCCACTGGGGTCCCTGGCCAGTCTGGGTGAGGGGTTGAGGGCTGTTTTCAGGCTGGCGGGCGACTGAAGCTCCCAACTTCTCCTTTTTTTCTTTTTTTTTATTCTGGGATTTATTTACCTTCTATGGCTGTCACTGGAGCTGGGAGCCGGCTTTAGCTCTGAGGCCCGGCTGCAGCTCTGAGACCTCGGCTGCTGAAAGCAGGGATCTGGGTTTGTTTGGGTTCTATAATTGAAACACTGTTGCGATCCTGCTGGCTGAAGCCCGGCTGGCCGAAAGCAGGTTTCTGGGTTTTGTTTAACTTCTATAATTGCAACAATGTTTCTTAGACTGCAAGCTCAGAGGCTGGCAGCAGCAGGCGGGGAACCTTGGCTTCCTCCATCACTAGAGCAAGCAAGCCTCCTGTTTGCTTCAGCTGCCTGGCTGCCGGCCGCCATCTTGGTTGGCAGTTAACTTGGATATCACCCTGATTAGCCAATGGGAAGCGTGTCGGAGCTACAGTTAATTACCATGTTTGTCTATTATTATATAGGACTGTTGATAGTATTACAGCTATCTGCCATTCCCTCCACACCCTTATTCCCCCTTCCTCCCAGCCCCTATCCCTGCCCCAGGTCTTCACTACCCTATTGCCTGTGTCCATGGACTATGCATATCCTATCTTTATTAGAAGGAATATGCAAATTGACCATCATGCCATCACAAAGATGGTGGCACCCACAGAGGAGACAGGGTTTCCATAACACAAGATGGCTGTACCCACAGTAGACGTTTAACAGAGGACCTCAGACCATGCCCCTGACCTGGTGCCAGGCTGGGGGACCTCAGGCTGTGGCCCCCACCCAGCAGGGCTTGACAGGGGACCTTAGGCCACACACCCCGCCCAGCGGGGCTTGACAGGGGACCTCCAGGTGCGTCCCCCACCCCGGTGCTGGGCCAGGGGACATCAGGCTGCTCCCCCCAACCCAGACTGTGAGACCCCAGGCCATGCCCCCCATCCTGGCACTGGGGTCTCACAGGGCTTGATGGGAAACCTGAGGTTGTGCCCCCTGTCTGGTGGGGCTTGAAGGGGGATCTCAGACTGCGCCCTCTTCCCGACAGGGTTTGACGGCCTGGGCAGGGGGACCTCAGGCTGTGCCCCCTACCCTGGTGCCAGGCTGGGGGATCTCAGGTTGTGCTCTCCACCTGGTGGGGCTTGACGGGGCATCTCAGGCCACGCCGCCCACCTTGGCACCGGGCTGAGGGATCTCAGGCCGTGCCCCCCACTCCGGTGCAAGGCCGGGGGACCTGAGGGTGCACTGGTGGACCTGAGGTTGCGCCCCCTGCCCGGTGTGTGCTGTGGGACCTGAGGCTATGGTCGTCACCTGGCACTGGGCCAGTGTACCTGAGGCTGCACCCCCTGTCCGGCAGGGCTTGACAAGGATGGGGCCAACTGGGTCTGGATCTCGCCCAGTGGAGGTGGGGCCGGCTGGGTCTGGGTCTCGTGTGATTTTGAGGCACCGCAAGTGGGTGGGGACTTGACTCTGTGTCCCTCAGTGCGCCCCAGACTCTGACAGGAGGAAGATTTTCATATACATTTTACTAATTTTCTTTCATCTATTATAGAGAAAGGGCAAATAGCAATATTAAAATATTTCCTGTAATTAATCCCCTTTTAATGTGCATGAATTTCATGCACTGGGCCACTAGTAAGTATTTAAGTTATTTGGTTTATCTCTTCTTATCCCCCCAATCCCACATCGAGGTATGCCAGTTTGTAATTAAAAATGATCTTTTAAAATATTATTCTATAGACCTAAAATAGCTAAAATATAATACTAAAAACATTTCTATTTAAACTTAATATTTTTTTAATATTTTGAAAACATGTAGACGAACAGTTTTTCAGGATTCCTAGCATATCTTTTGAAAGGACTTCAGAGCATGCATTCGAAATGGGCAGGTGATATTGCTCCTAAGGGGTAAAAATTGGTGCCTTGTGAGGGGGCTGATATAAGCTTACTCTTTTTATGTATATAACACAGCTATATAGGACCATACACAGATGTACAGTATATTTGGGGTATTAAAATGTAATAGGCCAATTAGGGGAAAGAAAGTCTAGAAAGGCTCCTTACGGAAGTGAGGAATTTAAATAGGAGAGATATAAAACACAAAACACAGTAGTAAAAGTATAATTACTGCTAAGTAAATGTTGGCTGCTTCTCTTTTCTCCTATCTTTTGTACTCTTCACAAAAGAATACTCAGAATCAAAAGAAAATATGACACAAGGAGAAATGGAAGAAACTCCAGAGGCAATGACTTTTGTACATGATCCCTGGACCCAAGTATGCCCAATGACAGTGAAATCTAAGACCAAGTCCCATAGCTGTGATTTTCTTAGTTGTACAAACCTGACAAAGTTACTTGATTTTTTATGAGCCTTAATTTTAACATCCACACTCCAAAGTTGTTATGAAGAACAAATGAGAAAATGTATATGACATTCTTTGGGAACCAAAAACCACTCAAGTTACCTTATGATAGGGCACAGTTCATGCTAGTGGCAGGAACTGAAGATACCTAGTCTGTGTAGGTACAGGAAAAAAATTGAAAAAGTCAGAATTAGAACAAATATTCCAAAATTTGATATGGACCCTGAGTAGCAACAGCAATCTTAAGGAGAACAAAATTAAAGGAATCATGCTACCTGATATCAAACTGTACTACAAGGCAGTAGAAATCAAAACAGCATGGTCCTGGCATAAAAACAGACATATAGATCAAAGGAACAGACAAGAGAGCCCAGAAATAAACCCCTGCCTTTACAGTCAATATTTGATGAAGCAGGCAAAAAACATACAATGGGATAAAGATAGTCTACTTAATAGATGGTGTTGGGACAATTATACAGATATGTGCAAAAAAAATGACACTAGACTACCTTCTTACACCAAACACAAGAATAAACTCAAATGGATTAAAGACTTAAATGCTAGACTCAAACCATAAAATTCCTAGAAGAAAACACAGGCAGTAAATCTTGCACATTTCTCATAGCAATATTTTTTCTGATGTATCTCCTCAGGCAAGGGAAACAAAACAAAACAAAAACAGGACTATATCAAGTTAAAAAGCTTTTGCACAGCAAAGGAACCCATCAATAAAATGAAAAGACAATCCACTGAATGAGAGAACATATTCACCAACAATGCATCTGGTAAGGGGTTAATATCCAAGATTTATAAAGAACTTGTAAAACTCAACACCCCCAAAACAATCTAATTTTAAAATGGGCAAAGGAAGAATAGACACTTCTTCAAAGAGGACATACAGATGACCAATAGACACATGAAAAGATGCTCAATGTCACTAATCATTAGAGAAATGCAAATTAAAACCACAATCAGATATCACTTCACATCTGTCAGAATGGCCATCATCATTAATCAATAAACAATTAAGTGCTGGCCAAGATGCAGAAAAAAAGGAAACCCTTGTGCACTGTTGGGAATGCAGGGTGGTACAGCCACTGTAGAAAAGAGTGTGGAGTTTCTTCAAAAAAATTAAAAATGGGACTGTCTTATTACCCAGCGATTCCACTTCTGGGAATTTATCCGAAGAAACCCAAAACACTAATTTCAAAGAATGTATGCACCCCCATTTTATTACAGCATTATTTACAGTAGCCAAGATTTGGTAGCAGCCCAAGTGTCCATGAGAAGATGAGTGGGTAAAATAGCTTTGGTTCATTTACACAATGGAATACTACTCAGCCATAAAAAAGGAGGATCTCTTACCCTTTGAGACAGCATGGAGGGACCTGGAGAGCATTATGCTAAGTTAAATAAGCCAGTCAGAGAAAGACAAGTACCATATGATTTCACTCTCATGTGGAATCTAATGAACAAAATGAATTACTCAGCAAAACAGAGACAGACTCATAGAGAGCAGGCTGACAGCTGTCAGAGGCAGTTGTTGGGGGAGGGGAGCAGGTGGAGAAATTGAGAAAAAAAGAAAAAGAATTCATGGATAAGGGCAACAGTGGTTGTGGGGAGGGGAGGTAGAGGAGGGCATAGAGGGGTAAATGGTGATGCAAGGAGTCTTGACTTGAGGAGATGAACACACAATACAGCATACAGACGATGTGTTGTGGAATTGTGCACCTGAAACCTGTATAATTTTGTTAACCAGTGTCATTGCAATAAATTCAATAGAAAGGGAAGGGAAAGACAAAAACTGTTCCTCTCTAGTGTCCAAGAACAAAATCAAGTCTTCAAATCTAAGCCTCAAAAGGCAGAATTTCTGTGCCAATTTGAATCATTTAAAGCAAAATTACCAATGGAACTCTTACCGATCTCTTTGCTCGTTAACTGTAGCGTGATCATCGAAGAAGGAATTTCCAAATACTTCAAGTATAGTATTGTGGCCTTCCTTGCTGGCTGTATGATACACTCGAGAAGCCAGGTGCAAGTCAATGGGCAGCACCTGGTCTGGGACAGTGGTGCACAGGTCATGAAGGGTAGGAGTGGAGTGGTCTTGTGGAATTCTGCAACAAAGAAAAGAAAGTGGGCTTCTTTTTTCATTGTGTGTTCTTTTTGTATAAAATACATTTACACTGACAGATTAGTGCGGGGTCTGAAAAGGATGCCTAAATGTAGGAGATGAGATTTAAAATGATAATAGTGATTTCTAACAAATTTAACATCACAATCTCAGGCCATTGGCCAGATCTGCAAAGCCATATATCCAACTGCCTGCTAAAATATCAACCTGTGTGTCTTATAGTTACCATAGAATCAACAGATTTAAAAGCAAACTTATTTTCATCCCACCCCAAACCTCTTCTCTCTTGAATTCTCTAACTCAGTTTGTGACACCATATCCAGCCATCATGCATTACTCCTTTGCAACTCTGCTCAACGGCTAATGTCCATGAAGAGGTAGAAAATATAGAACATGGCCCACTAACTAACATCAGTGGAACCCCTGGTCTAAGTTAATGTGATACCTCCCTTCCCACTATGCTAAAACTTGCCTTTCCAAAATAGGGAAGAGGGCATGAAGAATGCTTTCTTAATCCCCACCATCACTTGCCATCCTATGGACAAATGCTTTCTGAGCACCTACTGCATGCCAGACTCCATGCTAAGTGATTTACAGTCTCTCAGCAACGAGCCTGTATGGGTGGCATTATTATCCTTACATCGCAGCAGGCTTATTTTGGGTAAGTCACAAAATTAGCGAGCAGCTACTAGGGTCTAAACACAACGCTGCTGACTATAAGCCATAATATTTTCCTATTACTGCCTCTTCGTGACCCCGAGGTGGAAGTGGCCCTTATCCAGCACTGCTCCGCCCCCGCCTCCCTACTGACGTCATACTCTTACAGTAACCAAACGGCAACCTTGTTCTCAAATCAAATAAACTTTAGATATTTCGATAGTGTTCTCTATGAAGCTACAGCTGATATACTGATGACCTTTCTTGCAACTGCTCTTCCTCCATGAGCTTGTTAAAGCCTGCTCTGCCTCAGCTCTGTCTGCCTATCAGATTCATCACAATTTGACTTAGTCACTGGCTTTTCTTTCTCCGTCTTCTAAACTGGGTATGGCTTCCAAGGTTGAATTTTTCTTTCTACATTGAAAAATATCAGCTTCAGTGTCTCAGCTCGTTCCTCTGTACTAAGAGCTCCCAAATCTCATTTCAGTATCACTGTCGCACTCAGATTCCTCACCTTCGATATACAAAGCACTGCCTTTCCTTCGCTGGCCGAGCCAATGAAAAACTGAGCTTGCCTAGCCAATGAAAAACTGAGCTTCCCCTGCACAGGTTGCTCAGCCATGCTCCTTTCTCTCCTCACTTCCAACAGTCAAGGTCCTCATCACCTCAGTCTGCATTAGCAACAGGCTAACGCCAGTCGGACTGATCACTGCACCCTCTGTCTTTTCTCCTCTCCAGTATCGCCTGCAAAATCCTATCACATTGACCTTTAAATACTTTCACCTAGTATGAAGGTTCTTCGTTACTTGCTGCATTCACCTAACTTCCTTTCTCTGAGTTTCAGGGCTCCTAGGATCTGGCCCCACCTCTAACCTAGTGGTTAAAAGTGCAGAGTATAGTGAAGTCAAACTGCCCCTGCTCAAATCCCGTCTTAAATTATCACATGGTCATAAACTAGACAATTTTTATATCAGTAAATTGGGAGTAACAACTTTAGCACATCCTGGACAAATTACTTTAAGAAAGAAAGGAAGGAATGCATTTAAAAGAGTGTCTCTCACATGGCAGATGTTTGCTATTATTATTAGATTCCAGGACAATTCACAGGACCAGCAAGGCCTGTCCGTTCCTTCAGTTATGAATAGAATGCTGCCTGTCCTTTTGTCCATATCTAAGCATCCTTCAAACAATACCTCCAAGACAAACTTCTCTGCAAACTTTAATTATTTTCCTTTTTCACAAATATCTCTTTTCATACACTGTCCTATTCTTTTGCTACCCATTCTGACCATTTATCTAATAGGTTAATGCAGGTCTGCCCACCAATTGCTGTACATGTCTAGATAGCAGCATACTGTAATATAAAGAATATAGTGTTTGGAATTGTCAGGCCCACATCAGAATCTCAGCTGTAACATTTGCAAGCTGTATCATTGATTGCTCTAAATATCTTTTGCAAAATGAAAATAAAAATCCCTAACTTTTGCCCTAGCTGGTTTGGCTCAGTGGATAGAGCGTCAGTCTGAGGACTAAAGGGTCCTGGGTTCAATTCTGGTCAAAGGCACATACCTGGATTATGGGCTCGATCCCCGGTATGTGCAGGAGGCAGTCAATCAATGATTCTCATTATTGATGTTTCTATCTCTCCCTCTCCTTTCCCTTCAATAAAAATATATATTTTAAAAATCCCTAACTTTTGCCTTTGTAACAATTGATGACAGTGCTTGTTTTATTTGCATTGCTCTAGTCACTTTCACTGCACAGCACCTAACCCATTGCTAGGCATTACTGAATCACTAATAAAGAATGGTTTTGTGTCACTTCTAAAACAGCACAGGCACCAAAAAGCACAGAACATGAAATGTGTACATGTTCGAGTGGAGGAGGATAAAAAGAGGTAAATCTAAAATATTTGGAAATGCCTCAGACAAAGAGACCTAACTGGAAGAGTGAAAATGGGTGTCCAGGAAATAGGGATCCTAAGAACTGAAGAAGAAAAAAAAAGGGACAAAAAGGTAAGCTCTGATGTCAAGCTCATCTACATTATCATTCTGTCTGGGGCAGGTCCCAGCTAGTGGAATGTACTAGAGATTACATTACTTTATTTTTTTTTCTTAAAAAAGCAACACCACCAATCTGAATTCCTATGTTCCCATCATACTCTAATTACATAGGTCTGTAAGTGAATATCCCTTGGTTATCGAGCTAAATAATGCTATATTTTCAAAAGAGGGCTCAATTCCCAAGAAGACAATTTAATTTGGGGTCTATTCACAGGTGAGTCAGGTAAAAAAAAAAAATGTTTAAGAAAATAGAAGCAAGGAATAAAAGATCTTCAGAAATATAGTTTCCAAAATTCTTTTATTATACAATTTTTAATATCAGATTTTTATTCCTCTGCATCTCATTCTTATTTTTCTATGGAGATTTCTAATTTCCATTTTAATGAATTAACTCAGCACTATACATATCAAAAAGATCTACAAATATTTTTGGCATGCTCAAGAAAGGCTGTGTGTTTTTATAGCATACTCTCCTTAAACAGGACGATTTGTCATTCTTTGAAACACTAAGACATAAAAAAAGAAAAGGCTCTGACTCTGTGTGTGGCCATGCTACTTTGCCTAATGCACTAGATGCAAGGTTTTTTAGGGGGGAAATCAAGAAGTTTCTGCTTCATTGATAATCTGACAGTAACTATTTATTGAAGGTAAAATACCTGTTGTCCTCTGTCACTATTTGTTTTAATACATAATCTTGCTAACTAAATGAGCTTAAAGCAACGCAGATAAGCAATGGCATGTACAGGGTCACTTAAATGCCAATTTGACTCTTTCATAAACTCTGGAATTCTTTTCCCATGAGTCCATTTCCAGCTACTAAATAGTGAGTAATATCCATTTACAGAGTTTAGGCTGGCCATAAAACAGTTGTCTTCCATGACCAGCACACCTTTCAGTGCCCTAAGCAACAACAAAAGCTAATAATTAAAGCTTCTTTAAGCCCCCATAAATAGTTAAATGAAGAAGAGTCTAGAATAAACCAACCCATAAAAATCCAGTGGTGAAATAAGGAGAAAATCTTTTCAACAAAGTGAATGGCAAAACATAAAACCATAAATCTAAATTGTACACTATTATTCAAAATTGTAGCTACATCCTGGTATAAAAAGAAGTTCCATTTAAAGTGTAGTGGCAGGGGGGCGGGGAGGAGGAATGAATTAAAAAGTCATCTAAATAACCAGTTCTACTGGCCAATGGTAACTCAGAGTTGGTTGTCTTTTATTTTATAAAAATAAAATTAACCAACATAATAAGCAATTCATCTAAATTAGGCATTACAATGATTGAAAGAAATAAAATCTAACATGTTAACATTTAATTTTCTTTAGCCTCACAAACATCTATTTTTATTCTAGCATTGTTATGTCATTAAACCAAATGCCTTGATCAAAAATAGAAAGAGAAGCGTGGAGTACAGCATACGTGTCCTAACTGCCACCAACTGTTCTGTGAGAAGGTCTAACTTAAATCTCATGTATAAACTTCTAAAACATTCAATTTCCTTTAAAAATCCATTTTCAGGTATCAATGCTACTAAATAACTCTCTTCAGAAAGTAAAATTTATAAACTGAAGTTACTTTGTTTTTAATACTTTTTGATCCTGCTGGGGTTTTCCACACTTCCTTGGTCGTGGAATTCTTGGTTGAGTTTTTTGTGATCGTTTAGCTTCTTTTCCTCTGATTTGCAATAATTCTGATGCTATCACCTTTGAAAAATATAAAAGTGTGCTGTTAAAAAAAGTCGCCACATGAAATTAGATCTTTCGCTCATATTTAATGGTCCATCTCATATTTAAACTCCTAATTTGTATGTATATTTTATTTAAAAATATAAGTTCTAAAAGTGAGTTGATATATTCCTCTAAATCTCTTTCTAAAATTTTACTAACCTCCTAACAATAAAGATATTAGTACCATATTTATTTATAATATTTTTTGCCTTAAAACTAGTAAAGAAGTAATACAAGATTTTTTTCTCCTCCATAGATCTACTCTTCTTGATTGTTATTTTTTAATGGGACTTACCCTTAGTCTCTCTCTCTCTCTTTTTTTTTTCTTACCCTTAGCCTCTTAAAGTTTGGCATGACTGGTGGTTGCAAGTACAAGCCAAAATGAACTTTAATGCTTTCTTATACCTATTTTAAGCAATGTTTATTAATTTTTACTTCCTTACAGTTGTACTCTCTTCTACTGCCTGGAAAAAAATCAAACGCACGTCTGTCTCTGAAATAATTGCCTTTTAATCATAATAGGTATTAGGAGCACTGTTTTCCTAGATTTCCCAGAAAACTTGCAGAATTCATGGTAATAGTTGATCTAAAAACATTTTTCTCCATGGGTTACTCTGACTTTTTTTTGAGACTAGATTTGAGAAAGAAAGCAGGCTGGCTTTCCTTGGAGAAAGCAGAGATATGATTGAAAAGAGAGGAGGCCAGAAAAGAGGGGTTATAAATTAGGTAGCCGGTTTGGGTTCAGTGCAATAGTAAGGAGGGAGCTATTGCAATTTCTTGAGTAAGAAAGTGATGACAAATAAGGAAAGCTCAGAGTACAGATCATCCCATCTCGCCACCCAGTTAATGTTTAAATTTCCTTAGTTTCTCCACCAAATGGTTATTCATTCTGGCTTGAACCTGATCAGGAGCAGAGGATTTGGAAGTCTTTGAAACTCCTCTGGTTGTTAAAATTTTTGTTTATTTATTATAGAGCCTAACAACTTTCATCCACTAGTCTCAGTTCAAACCTCACAATCTGGCTCTCTTCCATTTGAGAGTCAAATATTTGAATACAGTTGACTCCCCTAGACCTGCACCTCCCCTCCCACGCTACCCCAGTAAACACCCCCGAGGCCCTTCAGCTCTACCTTACATGACATGGTTTGGAAGTACTGTGCTTTAACATTTTGAATGTTTTCTTCCAGTCTCCAATTTGTCAGTATTTCTCCTGGGATTGAATACCGATATCTGAACACAGTATTTAAGGTGTGATGTGATCAGTTCAACAACAAAAAAGATGATCCTCTTTTATGGTATTTGTCAATCAATGCAAACTATGATTGCATTTGCTTTCCTATCACTAAATTATAGTCTAAAACCCTGAAGTCTTTTTCACATTTACTCTAAATCACATCATCCCATACCTATGCATTTAGTTTGTGGCCCCAAGGACAGAATCATTATGCACATTTATCCCAATTAAATTTCAGCCAGGACCAGTTTGGCTCAGTGGATAGAGCGTCAGCCTGCAGACTCAAGGGTCCCGGGTTCGATTCCAGTCAAGGGCATGTACCTTGCTTGCGGGCACATACCCAGTGGGGGGCGTGCAGGAGGCAGCTGATTGATGTTTCTCTCTCATCAATGTTTCTGGCTCTCTATCCCTCTCCCTTCCTCTCTGTAAAAAATCAATAAAATATATATTTTTTTAAAAAATTTCACCTGAGATCTAACCAAATCTTACCAGTCACATTTTGAATGTTACCTACAAATCCAATCAGTAAATCTTACATTTTCTCATCAAAATTATTAGGATATACAATGGCTTGGACACAGCCATATAGCAGTCCACAGGGACTTTCATATTGAATTCTGCATCCTTTGCATAACTAATTACAAATCCATCTAGCAGTTCTCCTGACTGCAGTCTTGTTTACAATCTGTCATTGGGAGACTTTCATAAGTGGATGGCTGAAGTCCAAAGGATTATAACAACAACTAATGTGTGTTGTGTTTTCTTGTATACCAGGCTCTTTACCATGATACTCTTGTCCTGAACTTCAAATCTAACACTTTACTGATGTTCAGTCTAGTATTCTAGGAAAAGAAATAAGGTTGATTTTCCATGGTGTGTCCCGCAGGGAAACTCTGCTGGTTCCAAGTGATTGTTGCTTCCTCTTAAAAGGGGTCAAACACAATCTTTTTGTGTGTTTTTTTCCTCAGATGTGCAACTGTATTTGTCATTGGCTTGATATTACATTTCCAATCTCTTGTAAGCCTATAGGCTCTGACTGTGTTTACCTGCCCGTTCCCAATCGGTGTTTTTTTGTTTGGTTTGGTTTGGTTTGGTTTTTCTTTTAGAGAGAAAAGAAGGGAGAGAGAGGAACACCGATGTAAGAGAGAAATACCAGTTGGTTGCCACCAGTACATACCCCGACCAGGAATCAAACCTACCACCTAGGTACGTGCCCTGACTGGGAATCAAACCCACAGTCTTTTGGTGTATGGGACAATGCTCGACCAACTCAGCCACCCGCTGGGCTTGTTCCCAACCTTTTAATGACTCATTAAATCATTCCAGAATTTTGTCTAAGATAAATCATACATCACAGAAGCCATAACCATTACCCTTAGAAAAATAAAACTCAGATTTGCCATTGTCAGTCTCCAGGCATCTAGCACCTCCCTCTCCCACTGTAGCAGCTCCTCACAGCTGCTGCTGACAGAGGCCCAGCAGGCTTAAACCTATCTGCCTAAGCCAACGGGCTCAGACATCTAAGCTAACTCTTAAAATCTTTTACCAATCTTGGGCTTCAAGTTTCTTTTATCAATTCTTTTTCTCTTCTTTCTAAACTAAAGATCATTCACCTTGTCAGATTTAAGAGAAGTAAAGTGCAAGTTTATCAGCTTCCTTTTCTCTGTCATATTTTCTATTTATTTAAAACCTCACCCTTTTTCCAAAAATAAATTAAGGCAGCTCTGTCATATGTTGTCATCACATTATTCATCGAAACATTTCTCTCTTTGCTCCAAAACTAACATGAAAAAAAAATACTTTTTTATTTTTAGCATTATTCACAGGCCTCAACCCATTCTGGATCTTAGCCTTTTTAATATAATTGTTATAGCAACATGCCACTTTTATGTCTATCTATGGATATGTATTTCTTCTTTCACCTTGTGTACATTTTTAAAACTGAATGCAATAGATCATTCATAATTGTTTTATGAGAATTTGGGAGGTCTTGGGGCATCCCACATCTCTTTTTTAAAAAATAAAACATTTTTTATTGATTTTTTAAAAAGGAGATAGGGGGAAAAAGAGGAAAACATTGGCCCACTGTTCCTCCTATATATGCTTTCATTGGTTGCTTCTTGTATGTGCCCTGACCGGGGATTGAACCCGCAAACTTGGAGTATTGGCACAATGCTCTAATCAACAGAGCTATCCAGCCAGGACCACATCCCACATCACTGACATTCCCTTCTATTTCGAATATCTCTCTCTCTCTCTCTCTCTCTCTCTCTCTCTCTCTCTCTCTCTCTCTCTCTCATATATATATGGTTTAAATAATCATATTTAAATCTTTTTTTATAGACTTTTGACTTTTTTTCCTCCTAAAATGCTCAACAATCCTCTGATGGGCTCTTGTGTCAGTCATTTCTTCACAAAATCTCCATTATCTAATTTCTCCTTTTGATAGTCATAACTTAGACCAGAATCTTAATAATCTCTATTATACTAATGAGCTTATAAGAGTAGAAATGGCCAATAGAGTACAAATTGACCAAATTTTCTACTTTTTAATTGAAAGAGAACTTATGGTATATATGTGAGCTGTGAGCAATAAAAGTTCTGCACTGCTACTTTAACACATCTGTGCTAGTTCTATTAGCTATGAGCTATGTCAAAAAATATCTTTTAAAAAAGTGGTCTTCTTCTCCCACTGATATGGCCTGCAGTATGTTGTTCTTCATTCCTGTGACAGAGATGCTAGAGACTAACGTTATGGCCTCAAATGTCCAAACAAGGTAACTGATCTTGAGATGTTAACATAAATAAATACATATTATTGGTGAAGACTTGGTGGGATGAGTCACAGGAACACTTCCAATGCTATTTCCTATGGCATTTCTGTTGTGCCCCACAATATCCCACAACAACAACAACAACAACAAAAAAAAAACAACAAAACACATGCTTTATCAGACATTCTCTTCTCCTCCCCTTGAAACACTTCTGTTCTCAGTTTCGAGCTCTCTTAATTCATTCTCCAAGTCTCTCTTATCAAATTATTCTTCCTAGTTTCATGAGGGACATCCATCCCTAGTCATTTTTGCTTCTGAGAGTATGTGTTCTTGTACTTAACCAGATACCTATTAATTGTTGCTATGAAAGAGCAGCATTGATAAGTAGTAAAAAGTGAAAGTTCCAGAATTAGACCACCTCAGTTCAAGTCCTGCCTCTACAATTTAACCAGATGTTTGTACTTGGGCAAGTATTTTCCTTCTTTATGACTCAATTTTTTCAACTATAAGATGAGAGTAATAATAGGGTTATTATTAGAAAAAGTAAGATAAATCATGTAGAACACTTAGCAATGTGGTTCCCACATAGTCAACACTCAATAAACCTAGTTACTTAAAGAAAGGACTGCCACTTTTTATTAAAAAATACATAATTTTGTATATTTCTTAATAGCAGCCAATATAAGCAAAAAGAATTAACATTTGGGGACTTTTCTAATGAGGAATTTAAATTCTTGATAGACCATTGTAGTTAAACTATTGTCCATAAAATCCATTTGTCTTTGACACATTTAGTAGCTAACCATTTTCTTCTCATGACCACATTTTATTTCCAAAGTCCCAATGTTCAGGTAGAAGAATAGGTGACACTATCTGTGCCCACCAGTCTAACACTTTTTCAAGATGTCATAGTCTTTGAAGATGCTTTCTAAGGTCTCCACACCTAGAAGGTGTCAGCCTAACACAGGATTCAGCTGGAGGGATTAGCAAGGCTGTGGGTTTAGCTAACCTTGTCGGGCTTCACTTCATACCCCAAGCGCATCTTTAGAAAGACAGCATGACTTTTAAAGGAGCTGGTAGCAATCACAGGATAAGTCCCTTCTCCCTGACAGCAGTGGTAGATTTTCTCTGGCCAACTATTACCTGTGGATCTTCCTTATTACTCATGTTCCCAGAGGATCAATATGCTAGTGTCATACAGGATGAAACTAAGTAGGACTTGAGAAATTAATAAAAACCAGGACCCAGACTAGAAGGGGAGCAACTAGAAAAGAGAAGAAAAAAATCATAACCAATAATGTTTAGGAGCAATCTGGGCCTTGGAGACTGATTATATATATGTAAAGCTAAAGGAAGGGTAAGGTCACAGAGAAAGTCAAGGTTTCAGAGTTGGGAATTTGGGGCAAAAGTTGAAGAACTGGTAATGGTCAATTGACTGTGATAAATCTTAGAAGAAATATGGCCATTGGTGAGAAGAGGAGGACCCAGAAACAGAAAGACTAAGCAGGAAGTTTGTTAACCCAAGTGGTATCCATTGGAATCAGTCAGAGAGAGGATCTCTGGTGATAATCAAGATAATATGCTTTGGTTCAGTGAAAAGTAGCTTTTTTATAAATCCTAGGAGTAATGTATCTAGTTTAAAATAAACTCATTTATTTAAGCCAAAGGATGGCCCAAATTAAAGAACAGTACTAAGTAAATAGTAAGGTAATATGCAAATATGGTATTTAAAAATTATTTAAATTATAAATAAGAAAATGAATCTGGAAAACATTCTCACAATAGGAAAACACTTAGGGATTAGGATAAATCTAAAAGAGACAAAGTTATAAATGCTACATTTACCAGTCCTGACCACAGGGCTATAGTTCCTGATCCCCTCAAGATGGTAAGAAGACTCAGTCTAAAAGCCCTGAGATTCCTTCTCTCCTTAAAAATCTCTCTTGCCCGAACCAGTATGGAGCAGTGGATAGAGCATTGGCCTGTGGACCAAGAGTCCCGGGTTCAATTCCGGTCAAAGGCACATACCTCAATTTTAGGCTCCTCCTGGCCCCTGCAGGAGGCAACCAATCGATGTGTTTCTCTCACATTGGTGTTTCTCTTCATCTTTCCCTCTCTCTCCACTCCCTAAAAATCAATAAAAAATATCCTCAGGCGAGGATTAATATCTATATATCTAATATTTTCTCCCCAGCATTGTGATTAGGTTTGAGACTAAAATCTTTCAAACAAAATAGATGCTCCATTTTCCCAAATAGGCAATTTGCACATCAGGAGCCTTTTTTCAGGGTGAATTCCCCCCACATTCTTTGGCCCTTGCCTGGGTCATTTCTTCACACCTGTACATTCTCAACTCTCATAATTCTGTTTTTGATATAAATAGTGTTTTACCTTTAAAGATAGCTGTTGGCCTGTTTTTGATTCACCTATAGGCTGTTCATCTTCCAAAGGTTTATTTGAGTCATCAGCTTGCTGAATTTCTGAAGTTTCCTGAGGTTTAAATAACATACTTTCTGCGTCTGAGGTTCCCCATTCTAATATATCTTCTTGTTCCATTGGGAAAACACTTGATACAGTCTCAGAAATTTCCTCAGTCTCATTCTGTTGGAAAACATAAATACATAGGAATGCTTTTTTTATTGGTCCTTTTTAAGTCATACAATGTTTTCTCTCTGACAACAAAATAATTATGAAAATGCATGATTGAAATTAAAAAGAGGTAGTAAGTTCCCTTTGAATATTTATAAAGAAAAACTCAAAATGACTTAAGAAAAATATGAAGTCTGGCAAATTAATTTCCTCAGTCCTTTCTCAGGAAATATAGCTACTCCACAGTTATTACGCACCAACTCTAAGGAAATCATAAGACTCCAATCTGGCCCTGACTGTATCCCAAACTCATACAAAATCAAGGCCTACTGAAACAGCTAACCTGTGCCCAACCTGAGGTTCTTTGGTCCTGAAAAATGGGGTTCCTTGATGCTCTTCAAGAACCCTGACTTCAGGTACTCAGAGAAGAACTGGCCCAGAGACCTCAAGAAGACCACCCTGACACCCCAGCTCCATCCCAAATGAAAAATTCTTACAAAAATATCACTTCTACACCTGCTTTGAGTTCCTTAAAAATGTCTCACGCTCACCATTCTTATTCCACACAATTCTGGAAGTCCTAGCCAGAGCAATCAGGCAAAAGAAAGAAATAAAAGGCATCCAAATTGGGAATGAAGAAGTACAAGTGTCACTTTTTGCAGATGACATGGTTCTGTATATAAAATACCCTAAAGCCTCCTCCAACAAATATTAGAAACAATACATAAATACAGTATAATTGCAGGAGACAAAATCAATGTGCAAAAATCCAATCCACTGCATTTCTATATACAAATAATGAAATTTCAAAAAAAGAAATGAAAAAAAAATTCCTTTGCAACTGCAACAAAAAGAATAAAATACCTAGGAATAAACTTAACAAAAATGTGAAAGACCCATATACTGAAAACTACAGAACATTATTAAAGGAGATTTAAAAAGACACAATGAAATGGCAAGATATTCATGTTCATGGACTGAAAGAATCAACATAGTTAAAATGTCCATATTACCAGCCCCTGTGAGGCTGAGATGGTCCCTGTGAGGCTGAAACGGCCCCTGTGAGGCTGAGACGGTCCCCGCGAGGCTGCAACGGCCCCTGGGAAGCCAGAGGAACTGCGCGAGCCGCCCAGAAGGCTTCATCGATGGCCCGCGAGCCAGCTCACAGCCCTAAGCACCCGAAGGGCCAGAAGGGCGAAAGCAGCTGTAGTGTTGCTTTCTCCTCACTCTTGGTAGAAAAATCCTCATTTTAAACATAAGAGGACACATTATTTTAAAAAGCCGTTACATGTCTCTGTACCCTTTCTGAGTAGAGCGTGAACAAGTCATGAGAGACCTTTCCAAACACATTGCAGATGAAAATGGCTACAGTTTCCATGTGTATGACCTTTGACCTGGCAACAAAAAGTGTACACCTATGGATGAGGACAGTGGGGGGGTAAAGGCAGTGGGTGGGGTGGGAACTGGGTGGAGGGGACCTATGGGGAGAAAAAGGGGGAACAACTGTAATAATCTGAACAATAAAGATTTAAAAAAAAGGGGGGATGGACAATTTGAGCATTAAATAACTGCAATAGGTTAAAGTATATCACATGTTAAAACCTACAAATTCAGTGATCACCCAAAGGACTTGTAGGCATGCATATAAGCATAACCAATGGACACAGACAGTAGGAGGGTGGGAGCAGCCAGGAGAGGTCAATGGGGGGAAAAGGAGACATATAACTTCTTTCAACAATAAAGAATTTAAACTTTTTTTTAAAAATGTCCATATTACCCAAAGCAATATGCACAGTAAATGCAATCATCATCAAAATCCCAATGTCATTTTTTAAAAGAAAGAACAAAAAAAAAATCATTAGAATTATATGGAATTACAAAAGATCCCAAATAGCCAAAACAATCCTGAAAAAAAGAACAAAGCTGGAGGTATTACACGACCTGACTTCAAATTATACTACAAAGCAACGTTAATCAAAACAGTATGGTACTGGCAGAAAAAAAGACTCATGGAACAGAAAAGAGAGATCAAAGGGAGAACCAAGATGGCGGCATAGGTTAACGCCGGAGTTTGCTGCTTTGAACAACTACTTCAAAAGTGAAACTAAAAGATGGAACGGACGTCACCCAGAACCACAGGAACGCTGGCTGAGTGGAAGTCCTACAACTAGGAGGAAAGAGAAACGCATACGGACACTCAGAGGAGGCGCAGTGCTGAAGTCAAATTCTGAGGTGCGGAGTGCGCGGAGCAGGCTGGCGGCGGAGGGCGCGGTTGGCGTTTTCAATCGGGATGGAGTCTCAGACTCTGAGCTCCAGATCCGGGCGAGTCTTTAGGGACCCAGACTCAAACGGGAGAAGCGGGACTGTCTGGCTTCGGTCAGAGCGAGTGCAGCTTTCTCTCTGAGCTTTGCAGCGGGTGCTGGGACTCAGAGAGGCAGAGCCCCTGGGGACAGGACTGAGAGCCGCCATAACTGCTCTCTCCGGCCCACCCTGTTGATCCTGTGTGACCCGCCCCACCCAAGCACTGCACAGAGGCATTTGCTGGATAGCCTCAGGCAAACGCCAGATTAGCACCTCCCTAGAGGACAGAAGTTCTCTCACTGCTGACACAGCTGATTCTCATAGCCACTTGGCCTGGAGGTCAAACCCTGCCTGGTATTAGCTACAACAATCAAGGTTTAACTATAAGACTGCTAACAAAGACCACTAGGGGGTGCACCAAGGAAGCATAACAAAATGCGGAGACAAAGAAACAGGACAAAATTGTCAATGGAAGATATAGAGTTCAGAATCACACTTTTAAGGTCTCTCAAGAACTGTTTAGAAGCCGCCGATAAACTTAATGAGATCTACAAGAAAACTAATGAGACCCTCGATGTTATATTGGGGAACCAACTAGAAATTAAGCATACACGGACTGAAATAACAAATATTATACAGACTCCCGACAGCAGACCAGAGGAGCGCAAGAATCAAGTCAATGATTTGAAATGCGAGGAAGCAAAAAACACCCAACCGGAAAAGCAAAATGAAAAAAGAATCCAAAAATGCGAGGATAGTGTAAGGAGCCTCTGGGACAGCTTCAAGCATACCAACATCAGAATTATAGGGGTGTCAGAAGATGAGAGAGAGCAAGATATTGAAAACCTATTTGAAGAAATAATGACAGAAAACTTCCCCCATCTGGTGAAAGAAATGGACTTACAGGTCCAAGAAGTGCGGAGAACCCCAAACAAAAGGAATCCAAAGAGGACCACACCAAGACACATCATAATTAAAATGCCAAGAGCAAAAGATAAAGAGAGAATCTTAAAAACAGCAAGAGAAAGAAACTCAGTTACCTACAAGGGAATACCCATACGACTGTCAGCTGATTTCTCAACAGAAACTTTGCAGGCCAGAAGGGAGTGGCAAGAAATATTCAAAGTGATGAATACCAAGAACCTACAACCAAGATTACTTTATCCAGCAAAGCTATCATTCAGAATTGAAGGTCAGATAAAGAGCTTTACAGATAAGGAAAAGCTAAAGGAGTTCATCACCACCAAACCAGGATTATATGAAATGCTGAAAGGTATCCTTTAAGAAGAGGAAGAAGAAGAAAAAGGTAAAGATACAAATTATGAACAACAAATATGCATCTATCAACAAGTGAATCTAAGAATCAAGTGAATAAATAATCTGATGAACAGAATGAACTGGTGATTATAATAGAATCAGGGACATAGAAAGGGAATGGACTGACTATTCTTGGGGGGGAAAGGGGTGTGGGAGATGCGGGAAGAGACTGGACAAAAATCGTGCACCTATGGATGAGGACAGTGGGTGGGGAGTGAGGGCGGAGGGTGGGGCGGGAACTGGGAGGAGGGGAGTTATGGGGGGGGGGGAAAGAGGAACAAATGTAATAATCTGAACAATAAAGATTTAATTTAAAAAAAAAGAAAGAAAAAAAAAGAAAAGAAAAGAGATCAGAAATAAAATCACATGTATATTGGCAAATAATTTTTGACAAAGGAGCCAAAACTACACAATGGAAAAAAGAAAGTCTCTTCAATAAATGGTGCTGGGAGAATTGTAAAGCCACATGCAAAAGAATGAAACTACATTAAAGTTTGTCCCCATGTACAAAAATTAATTCAAAATGGATTAAAGACCTAAAAGTAGATCTCAAACAATAAATCACATAGAAGAAAACATAGGTACTAAACTTACCAACCATGGTCTTAGAGAATGTGTTATGAACTTGACCCCAAAGGCAAGGGAAGTAAAGGCAAAAATAAATGAATGGAACTTTATCTAATTAAAAAGCTTCTTTTCAGCAAAAGAAACTACCAACAAAACAAAAAAGCAACCAACCAAATGGAAGATATTATTTGCAAACAGCAGCTCTGATAAGGGGTAATATATAAAATATGTGGAGAACTCAATTCAACACCAAACAAAAACAATCGAATTAAAAACTGGGCAGAGGACCTGAATGAACACTTCTCCCAAGAAGCCATATAAATGGCCAACAGATATTAAAAAATATATGCTCAACATCACTAGCTTTAGAGAAATGCAAATCAAAACTACAATGAGATTCCCTCCCCAAACCTGTTACAATGGCTATTATCAACAAGACAGTACCAAGTGTTGGGGAGCATGTAGAGTAGAAGGAACTCTCATTCACTGCTGGTGTGAATGTAAACTGGGACAGCCACCTTGGAAAACAGTATGGAGGTTCCTAAAAACGTTAAGAATACAGCCCATGCTGGTTTGGCTCAGTGAATAGAGCATCGACCTGTGAACTGAAGGGTCCCAGGTTCAATTCCAGTCAAGGGTACATGCCTGGGTTGTGGGCTCGATCCCCAGTAGGGGGCATGCAGGAGGCAGCCAATCAAGGATTCTCTTATCACTGATGTTTCTCTCTCTCTCTCCCTCTCCCTTCCTCTCTGAAATCAATAAAATATATATTTTTAAAAATTAAGCATACAGTTACCATATGGCCCAGCAATCTCCCTCTTGGGTAT